CTATGTCTTATTTGCACATATCTCAACTCCTGGCCTACCTCTACATTTAGAGCCAAGTCTACTGATGGAAAAACAACACTGATTCCAAATGAAGAATTCAAAGTTTACAATGGGGAATGAGTGATCATTTTGATTATCAGCCTCATCAAAATCAGTCTCTGTTTCATCACCTGAGGTAAAAGACACTTGCGGCATTTAAACACGAGCTTCATCAATGTCTCTTCACATCACTGATCTCTGTTCGCTCAGAGATGATTCCCCAACATCATTAAAACATGACATGACACTCGTGTTCTATGACCATGCCTTGTTACCTTTCATGCCAGGAATACCAGGCCTTCCAGGTAAACCTCGGTGTCCCTGCAATCCCTGTGATCCTGGTGCTCCTGGAAAACCTCGGAAACCCTGGAGACCTTTTGGTCCTGGTGGCCCAGGAGGTCCCGGCCTTGTGTGGCAGTGTTCGCAACTTCTCTGCTGACTGTGTTGGCTACTAAGAAGAAGTGAGGGAATCTCTGCTGCAAATCAAAGAATTATGTCCGCCATCAGGCAAGGCAAATGAAACCAGAATGGCAGTTACATGAGACCTTTTCTTGACATTCATACTAGCAGGTGACAACTAGCTCATGACGCATGTAGTTTGTGTCTTGTGAGAGAGTAGCTACTACTACTGTTGTAGCTTACGGGCATGCATCGTCCAGCATTTTTTTCCATTTTTGAGCATCAAACCATTAATATGAACTAATTGCAGGTAAGAACTAAAGTTGTGAGTGGGGAACCGAAAAGAAACATCAGTCCACATGGGCCATACCTTTGGGCCAAGGAATCATTCAAGCCAATTGTGTGGTTTTGTCGCTATACCTTGTTATATCTAATTTGCACAAAATTGAGAAAATCTCAATTCAAATGTCATTTTGTTGTTCTGTTGTTTGTTGCGTTGATTGCTGCTGTTGATGTGTCACACATAGATAATTGAATGGTCGTCTGTTGCTTTGCCATTCGCTAGTGTGAACGTAGTGTTGGACTAGAGGTATCCAGAACCTTTTGCACCACTAAGTGAAAAAAATGCAATAAAGTTACTTAACTGTTTACAATCCTACCACGCAATGTGAAGGATATGCCATACATACGTACCAGTAACACTACAAACAATGTTTTGTCATTAGTAGCTTACATATGAAGTCACACCAAGGCATGGTTGCCCATTTTCACAAAGTGTTTGATGTTCACTATTAATCATAACACATTCAAGTCTTTGTTTTTTTTTTTGTAGGCACAGGCATGATTTGCTGTTGTAATAGTAGCTTAGCCAAATGCCAAATTTTTTTCTAAGAATTTTTCCCCCCTATAAATGCCTACAATTATGGATTTTGGACTGTTGTATTTGTTGTAGTCAATTTTTTCAACCAGTAAAATATCGACATAAACTCTATATCGTATGTTATTCCGACAGTGTCACTGCACTGCACTGCATACTGTTTTCAAAGTTATTGGTTGAAGTTGATTTGACTAGATATTGCAGAAACACATCTAACCTCTTGACAATGTATCCAGTCAATGTTTTTATACCTCTTTTATAACTACACTTCTATAGCCATGCCGATGGCCACAAAACTACCAAGTGAACTTGTTGTTTCGAACAGATCACCTGTGTGATCACCTTTTGTGACACATTGTTAATTCAAACGTGGACATAAACCAATGCAGTTAAAGATAACGTTATTAAAAGGACCAGTAATGTATTTGAATGGTTCTATGCAGGTTAGGTTGTAATGTTACAAAAACAATCATTGCTTCACACCATTTACTTATTCTGATTCTACCGAATTTTCTGTTAGAAAATGTAGATTGGTGTGCTGTTGTTTTTTTTTTTTTGGTGTTATCATGAATACTCACATTGAAGGACCTCTCTGCATATCTGCTGAATGCGTTGCTCCGACAGCTCTCTCCCCTGCAAGAACATAGTTTATGACAAAACTTAAAAAGTACAGATATCGAGAATAATTTCCTGGAATATCAGTATCATTCTAATGTTCATTTTACACAAATCCTATGAACTGTACATGTAGTAATATTAGCCTCTATTTTCATGATCATGGCACAAGCACAAATATTTTGCAACAATAAATTTGAAGGGTCTATTGTTGGTATTATTAAGTATATGTTCTGAGAATCAGTTGATTCACATTTCACAACTGGGCAATGGGACAGAACTTGCTTAATAACATTTTGGTATTGAGTTTGAACTTAGAGGAGGCCTTGGCATATGGTAACGCTCAATCTTTGGACAAGGTGGATCTAAATAAGCCACTGCTCTGTGGATTTTGAAAGTTACCCCACTGTTGTGCTTCTCCACCCAATGAAAGCAACTGCTTTCATTTCTAATTATGAAAATAGCAACTGAACACAAATGAGAATAACTGAACTACACCAAGCAAATTCAGTCATCATACAACACAACTTCTAGCATTCTGTGCACCTTTAATTATACTGATTATAGGTAATCAAGGTCTATCAATTTCCAATCCTAGCCTAGTAAGTTCAATGCTAAGGCTCACAAGTTACTAGGTATAGTCAAATATGCATCCAAATAAGACCTGGGAGCTTGCTTCTGATTGGCTAACAGTGTGACTTTTACTATTCCCATTACACTACCCCCTTCCCAGAGTAGTGCTGAACCCCTTCAGTATCCATATTTATATAAAAGGTTTGAGCAAAAGTCTTGTGAGCCAGGTGAACTGACGTCTAATGGGTATTTCTCTTGAAGCTTGAATTCATGCATTCTCAGATCACCTCAAGATTTGTCATCAACTTTCATCATCAAGTTTACTTAATTTTAGTCATATAGAAATCGTGAAGAATCTTTAATATTAAATATTCAAGATATTGAACGTTTTCTTTGTTTGTTTTATAATGTTCAGAATTGAAAAAAATAGTTTATTTCCAATTTTAAATGAAAAAAATGCCCAGATTTTCTATGTGGTCTGAAACTTTTTGACTCCACTGTATATGCAATGAGCAACATAGCTGAATTGGCCTAAGGCTGGTGCTGATGCCAAAAACTCTTGAATAATTCAGAAGAAAAAGTGGGATCTTCTCCTCTGGCTCCTTACTCAGGCCATCAAAAGCAGATGTGAATAACTCTTGATGTCTATAGGCTTCAGGCATAACAATGGTGATGGGAGATCCGTCTGTTTGCAATTGCAATCCACTTCATCGGATTGCTTGCAGATATAGAAAGGTTCTGGGTGTTCCACCTCTGGGTGATGTGGCGCAGTCTGTAGGTAGGTGTGTGCCAACAGGAAATGCACAAACAAACAGACACTTTTGTTCCCATTTCAACAAGGGCCCTCACAGAAGCGGGTCTCATATGCAATTTACCAGTTGTGGAGCCTCAGTAAGAATTCAAGTGGCTTTATTGTCATTTCAACCTTATATTGCTAGTACAGTACACAGTGAAACGAAACAACATTCCTCCAGGACCATGGTGCTACATAAAACAACACAGAACTACAAGAGACTACACATTACTACAAATTTGTCAGCTGCCAGCTGGTCTTGTAGTTAGAAATCTATTCCCGTGTATGCCAGTGTGACCAGACAATGGACCAACTGCAAACTCAGCTGAGGAGTCCTTCACAGTGTTCACAGTGTTAGGCAGTCTGTGAATCATCAGGCCATACCTCTATGAAAGCTGCTCTGAAAAGATGTCGTAACCCTCTCTGATATGCTCTGGGAGAGAACAAATAAAATGGATAGCAGACCATTTTGCAGTCTCTTATGCAATCTGTCCACCCTCTAATCACTAGTCGAATACTGCCTCTGGGTCATTCTTTCAAAGAGAACAAAGATGTCAGCCCAGTCCTTCCCCTCAAAGATGGCAAAAACCCTTGGCTCCTGCAGTGATAAAGTGAGAGGGACCCTGGAATTCAGTAGTGTAGTGCTCCCCTTGTAGGAGTCTACAACTCTAAGTAATGCTGTGTGGTGGCTGAGTCTCATTGGCTAGCAGGCCTCCACTCCTACCAGAAATATGGCCCTGTGGAAGGCCCTTCCATATTTCCATTGTCTGAGCCTGAAGTGAGAGCAAGCTGTAAGATCATGTAAAGCTCTGAGACAATATGAACGAAGCCAGCTGAGATTACAGGAGTTACCTCATACCGAGAGGTAGACACATTATTTGAACATCCAGACTGCTTCGATTGAGACTCGTATGTTTCTAACTAGTGGATCTATTTGGATCACCTGTTTGATTTGATGTTCCAAGTTAGCTGCTCCGTTTACTGCAGGCACTGTGTCCTTTGGAAAACTATGGGTGATGGTCTTTGTTAAAAAACCTTTAGAGAAGACTATTTGTTACAACAACTGAACTGTTGCAAGTTGAAGGACATGACCTACCAATGGTTTCAGTGCTGAGGCAGTATAATTCAGTATATATCCACATAAGAACAGAAAGCTTACTTGTTCTTTACTAGTAGTGTCACTGTTACTTTCCTCGTCATACTACTTTGATGCAATGCCTCTGTTTTTCACAAAATGTTTGGTTGGAGCAATTCAGAAAAGTACATAATACTTACAGGTCGTCCTTCAGGTCCAGGTGGTCCAGGTTGTCCAGTGTCCCCACTCTGTCCTCTGGACCCAGGAGGACCTGGCTGTCCTGGCAGTCCTGGCTGACCCTGGAGGCCTATATGTCCACTCTGGCCAGGCTCTCCTGTTGTCCCTTTCTGACATGCACACAAGCACAGCCTCAGCAAAATAAAATAGTCTGAATGTTTGTAAAATATCATTCGACATAAAACTTTTGTTCATCTTTAATTTTTATCTTTTTTTATTTGACCATTTTATGATACATACATATAAAGCATGTTGTATTACCTTATACCAAAGTAATAGAATATTTACATTTTACGGACACCCTTATCTAGAGCAACTTACACTTTATCTCATTTATACAACTGAGCAGTTGAGGGTTAAGAGCTTTGCTGAACGGCCCAGCAGTGGCAGCTTGGCAGTGATGAGATTTGAACTCACAATCTTCCAATCAGTTGGCCAACAGCTTAACCACTGAGCTACCACTGTCAGAATACTGAAACCCCGATACACATGTTCCTCTTTTTTGTCTCCCTCCAGAAACAACAGAAGGCCTCCCAGAAGGCATGCATCTATGAGACATTAAACTGGCGCTAGTGCTAACTGAGTAAACTGGGATATATGTCATTTGTACGTCTGTTTTTGAAAATTTCAGTTGAAAGTTAAATGCTAGTAAACTACAAGCCAAGTGAACTTTTCTTCTTTTTCTTTTTTCTTTTTTGGCTGGACAGTGGCAATAAAATAAGAACCAGTAAAAATAAGTTTTAAAAATAAGTTTTACTCATTTTTGGATAGAATTCTTTATATATGTGAAATGAAAAATAAGATGCAAAATGTATAGAACTTAGTTTAATATTCAGGGTAACCTTTGCCTTTAAAAGTATTTTTTTTTTTACATATGCATAGAAATATTAACTCACCTCTCCTTTTTGTCCTGTCAGGCCAGTTAAACCCTGGTCAAGAATAGAGGTGTGAGTCGTAAGTCATGTAGCCAAGAACCATAAGCAGTGCTGACTGTGCCCTTTGCCCTTGGTCCTGCACTATAGGTTTGTGTGTCTTTTGTCCCTCTGGCTACAATGAGCTATTAATGTCATTATGTGACTTATCAAACCTGTTTTATCTAATCCACCTGCTTTACTAATATCCAACCAGTTGGGCTTTAGCACATTTCTCACATTTCAACATCAGACTAACTCCTTTTGTTTAAAGGCCCAAGGCTAAGGGCTGTAACATCTTGATATTCTTCTCAGGACACAGCCCTCTAATTACCAGTAATTACCAGACTGGTAATTTTCTTGTTACTGAAACCTAGAATTACCTTGATTGTGATATTATCAGTAATTAAAGAACGAGTATATTCACAACTGAAGTTTTCTCATAGCACAGAATGAATTGTCTTGTTTGCCTAGCAGTCATTCCTTTCATGTTTCACTTTTGTTGATGGAAGAATACCAGTGTGCGCCATCACCTACTGATAATGACAATGCTTTATTATATTATATTTCATAATTCTAGCTGTTACCACATAAATGCAGAACATGCCACATATAATAAAGTAGACATTATGTAGAAGAATAGGTGTGAAATATCAAGCTTACATTGTGACCAGGTTTTCCTGGATCTCCTTTGTCACCTTTCAACCCCTGTTGAATTGTATAGAAAGAATATTTCAAACAATATAGAGCAAGAGTATTGATATAAATGATATATATAAATGATATAATAGTACATGATCCACATTTGGACCATGCTTTTCATTTGCTCTTTGATTTCATAAAATGAAGCTAATGTTTTTCTTAATTTGATTTGCTCTCCTATAAAGAAGCGAAGCAAGAAGCAAGCACTCCTCTTCTACACTTACAGCTCACTTTCAGATGCTGACCCTGTGTCTCAACTCTGAAGATGGCCCAGGTGAAGTACTTAAAAAATAGGTAGTCTGATTTCTGATCTGAATTCTGTTTTCATTGTTTAATTGTACTTTTTCAGAAAATGCTTTATCCAATGGCAGCAGGACTTTGCTCCTAGAGTGGGTTCCAATCATGTTTAAATAATTTTAAATTGCAGGGTTGAAAAATCCAAAATGCACAAAACAGAAAATGTGGAATTGCATATACAGTTTATAGAAAAAAGAAAAATAATTTGCATTTTAAAGTGCACTTAGAACTGGTACACGTACCTCTTCCCCTCTTTCACCTGGTGCTCCTATTTCCCCCTGGGCAAAAGAAAAAAAGACAGTAGGAAGATAAGGATAGCATGAGCTAGTGGATAAGGGTAACATAATCACAGCAATATTCTAACACTGCAATCAATGCATGTAGAATGTAGTCATCTAGAGTTGAGATCTGATATTTTTAATATAGTATCTCTTTCATTCCACAAGAAATTATGTTTTAGCTAAAAGAAAATGAACATGCTCATTGTAGAAAGTACTCTTCAAAAGTAACCTGGGTGTATTAAAGTTGCCATGATGCCTGGTTACCATATGTGTGCAAATTTGGTAGTAACTTACTATGTGCATGTAATTCTAACTTAACTCTAAATGTGGCCTAATTATTTCATTACATTAACATTATGTAGATTTTTCAAATAATATTTCTGGAGCAGTAGAGACATAGAGAACACATTACCTCCGAGTTGACTTTCAGGGGTGCTTGGACCCCTAAATATAATAACTTTAACTAATGTGGAAAAAAAAAAAAAGATCATGGACCCCCTGGCTATGTTTCACAGACCCCTGGGGGTCCCTGGACCCCTCTTTGAGAACAACAGAATTAAGCATATTATGGCTTGTATGTCATATGAACAGCATACAATTTGTTTTATTTTAATAAAAAGGCTGCTCTGTACAGAATAATCCTTGTATAAAAGTGTGCAAAAAAAAATTAAATTCAACTGTATTCCATTTCCCTTGTGGTTGACCACCGCTTGTATAACATGGAAAATTGGCACATGTCACAGAAGTCCTGTTTAATGTGTTGCTTTTCTTCCTTAGATGTGAGGGAAATTTCATAAATCCTGTGCCTGCAGTGGTATGAGCAGGGTTGCCAGATCCCCATTAAACAGCAGTATTTAAAAACTTAGTTTTCCCTGAATAAGTCTTTCACCAAGGTCCTGAAATGGCCTTGAATCATTATCCATTTTGTCATAAATAATAATTATCTATGAATGAATTAGAAAAAAAATGTGCTGGCGGTTTAAAAGTATCGGAAAACAACACGCATCTGGCAACACTGCCTACACAGCTTCAAAGCAACACGGTCGCTGTTAATTTGCACCTGGTTATGGGAGGTGAGGTGAGCCAAGTCACGTGCACAACTTACTAACAGGTAAATACAGTAGCATCGCTAATTTCATTTCATTATTTTTCCCCCACGGTATTTTCTCAAGTGAATATGTATGAGGAGTGAAGAGCACTTGGCGTGTTGTTCTGTGAGGCTTGTAAGCCAGTTTGGTACATAACCACGCAATGAGTTTCACGCAAAATGCGGCCTAAAAACAGGCGCGAGCAAACAGTCCACCTGACCCCCAGCGGCCATTTTAACAGGTAAGTCTTCTTTATGAGTCGCTTTGCTATGCTCTCCCGTCCACCAGTGGAAAAGGACAGAGGAGTAGCTGTACCTAATAAAGTGACTGCACTACATATTCCACATATTTGTACTTAATAATTCTAACCCCAGTTATTACTTAGAAGTTTGTTTAACTATACGGCTTTATGAAGTGATTGTCACTATAGTATTAGCTGCAAAGTTTTTAGCTGTTAGTTAAAATGCTAACATTTGTGCTAATAAATTGGTGACTAGCCGAAGAAGCGTTAAGTAAACTGCCATGAATTCATTTTTTTGAATTAAAACTTTAATGTGTTCTCTTTAAAAATGTTCTTTTAAAACAAGTTCACGTGTTTTAAGACTAAGACTTACACTGACTATCCACTTTATTAGGAACACCTGTACACCTACACATTCAGTTATCACATGCACACATGCAGTTATCTAATCAGCCAATCATGTGGCAGCAACACAGTGCAAACAAATCATGCAGATACAGGGCAAGAGCTGCAGTTAATGTTCCCATCAAACATCAGAATGAGGACAACTGATCTTAGACTTTCTCTGTGGCATGGATGATGGTGCCAGATGGGCTGGTTTGAGTATTTCAGAAACTGCTGATCTCCTGTGAATTTCACCCACAGCAGTCTCTAGAGTTTACACAGAATGGTGCAAAAAACACTGAGTGAGCAACAGTTCTGTGGGTGGAAATGCCTTGTTGATAAGAGAGGTCAGAGGAAAATGGCCAGATTGGTTCGAGCTGCCAGGAGGGATATAATAACTCAAATAATAACTCGCACTCTTTACAACTGTGGTGAGCAGAAAAGCATCTCAGCATTGCACAAAACATTGAACCTTTGAGGTGGATGGGCTACAACAGCAGAAGACTACATTGGGTTCCACTCCTGTCAGCCAAGAACAGGAATCTGAGGCTATCAAGGGCACAAGCTCACCTAAACTGGACAGTGGAAGATTAGGGAAAAAAAATCACCAGTTTTCATCTGTCTAGTTTGGGTGAGTCTGTGCCCATGCTAGCCTCAGATTCCTGTTCTTGGCTGACAGGAGTGGAACCTCACGTGGTCTTCTGCTGTTGTAGCCCATCAACCTGAAGGCTTGATGTGTGTTCTGAAATGCTTTTCCGCTCACCACAGTTGTAAAGAGTGCTTATTTGAGTTACTATATCCTTCCTGTCAGCAAAGACTGGTCTGGCCATTTTCCTCTGATCGTTCTCATCAACAAGCCAAGGTCGCTCATGCAGTGTTTTTTGTTTTCGCACAATTCTGCGTAAACTCTAGAGACTGTTATGTGTGAAAACCCCAGCAGTTTCTGAAATACTCAAACCAGCCCTTCTGGCACCAACAACCATGCCACGATCACAGTCACAAAGAGCACATTTTTTTCTTCATTCTGATGTTAAATGTGAACATTAACTGAAGCTCTTGACCTGTATCTGCATGATTTTATGCATTGTGCTGCTGCCACACGATTGGCTGATTAGATAACTGCATGAATGTACGGGTGTTCCTATTAAAGTGGATGGTGAGTGTATATCACTGAACTTACCATCTTCTGGTAAAAAGCAGGTTTTGATCATCTTAAAAAATACTACAATTGTGTAAATGCGCTTAACTTGATACTTGCAAAAACCATGAATTTGTGATGAGCTTCTCCATTTAAAGTGTTTTCTTCATTTGTCTGTTTGTTTATATCTGAGGTTACTATCCAAAATGTTCTGTTGTTAACAAAATTAGACATGCAAAGGCATGTTTATGTCACATAGCAATACATGGTATCAGCGTTTTCTTTAAAGTAAATGAGCACTATACCTGACTAACACTCTATACCATTATACCATTTACTCTTAAAATGCTCAGAGACCATGAGACTATGTGATGTAAGCTTAGTGTATGCTGTCACACTGATGAACAGAAATGACATTGATGTG